GTACTGTAAGAGTCTGCTAAGAATTTCAAATCCTTTACTTAAAAATTAAGTGACTCTGAATTGTCATTACTAATCTACTAGTATGGATTTTTAAACGCTGGCTTGGTCTTGAGGTTATCTTTCAAAATGAGCTTTTAAACTAATGAGGTCTTTCATCCTCCAGTGAAGTGATAGGTCTGAAGGAGGAGAGCTCCACTGTTCAGTCCCTGAAGGAAGAGTTCACCCAGCGTATAGCAGAGGCAGAAAGGAAGGCTCAGCTGGCCTGCAAAGAGAGAGACATAGCTAAGAAGGTAATGCTAAGAGCTCTTAGTCTGTGACTTGTTAACTTATAATTAACAAAATAAATAAAGTTCTCCAAGGGCTGTGCTGACCTTTCATGTATTTCTCCTACCAAAATTACTTCTAGATGGACAATTAAAACTTTACATGTCCAAAATTTTTGTGGAAAAGTTTTTATTTTATTCTTTTGGTGCTGTAGGAGATAAAGGGTTTGCGAGAGGAGCTTTCCACAAGACTAAACGCCAGTGATACAATGGAGATCATCAAGGAAAAGGAGGAGCAGATCAGAGGTCTGCTGGAAGAGGGTAAGACTTGTTTACGGAACATGTTTTTCTTCACCGCAACCAACAGATGGCATAATCAACACTTGGTCAGACAGTAGCTCTTACTTGTTACAGGTTAGGTTATTACTGATTACTTAGCATCACATGTCGGCTTTGTTAAAGTGTCTGAGTAGGTTTTTATTTTTCTCACTTTTAGGTGAAAAGCTGTCCAAACAGCAGCTACAGCACAGCAACATCATCAAGAAACTGCGTGTGAAGGAGAAGGAGAGTGACACAAAGATCACCAAACAACAAAAGAAAATCAAGGATCAAGAGGAAGAGCTGAGACAGCTCCAGCAGGTAGGGATTTGGGATGTGTTCAACACTACACTTGAATAAAAGTTCATACCCGACTGTTATTTAAAGCATTTTAGTTTTAAGGCAGTTTAGTTTGAGTTTTTGTGTTTAATTTCATTTTCTTGGATCAACTTTTTTTGTTCTCTCTTCCTTCCCTCACCTTTAATCGATTATGGCTTCCGGTTCTTCCTGTTAAGAGGGAGTTTTTTCTTTCCACTGTCGCCAAGTGCTTGTTCATATGGGGATATTCGCTGATAGTCGCTATTATTTTAGGGTATTTACCTTACAATGTAAAGTGCCTTGAGGTTACTGTTGTGATTTGGGGGTTTATATATGCAATTTAATTTAATTTACAATAATTTTTAAGAAAATGTTATCATAATTTTTAATTAAAAACAATAATATTAATATTATTAATTCTTTGTTTTCAGTGTTTAGTGGTTAAATCTTATGTTGGAAGAATCAAAAGGTACCTGTTAATTAGTTTATAATTAAGCTGAACTTGCTCGTAATTGTGCTGATTGGGAGCGTTTTTATTCTTCAGCTCTCATTTTATGGGAATTCATTTGGTTTTATTACAAGAGGGGTTTACTTTTCTTGCCTGTTTTGGCATGTCCTTTCAGTAATGGTACTAGACGGGGCTTGTTTTAAAAATGAAAGTAATTCCAAAATGCTTTCAAGCTCTCAACAGCTGTCACCTCCTCCGCCCTGTTTTAAATGAAAAAGCCCCTTGAATCATACTCTTGAGACTGTGGAAAATAAAAATGTCACTTTCCAAAATGATGAGTAAATGCACACCTTAAGAACACTGTTACATTTGCTTACACTGTTAAACAATGCTGCTCATACTAGTTTTCTCAGTTTGTTATGGTAGTGTGGATTGTGGCTTCAACATGGTCACGTGTAACTAGGGGTGGGCGATAGAAACGATATACAATAGAAACTATATAAATTTGGCCAACGATAGAGATTTTGACTATACCGCTCTATCGCGATAGCGCATGTTGATGATGTCATCAAGCTGCGCCTGTTTTGGTCGAAAGCATCGCAGCGGCTACAACCATTATCATCTGCAAATTATGCTGGGCGACAGTCATAGCAAAAAGATGAAGCACTTTTGAAATAGTGGGAAAGCCAAAAACTGCGCTTGCTCCACTTCCGTAGCATTGATTGACTAATGTTGAATTCTCTCGCAGCTGTTCTATTCCCATGTTGTTGCAGTATATTAATAACTAACCTTGTATTGTGGATGAATGATCTCAGTTGTTCTCCTGACTGAAGTTTGGCCCGTGTATAGCATCCTGCTGTGTGATTGCATTTGTCCCTAACCACCAGAATCCCTCACGTTAACTTTTATCGAGTGGAAAAAAAGTTTGCGTTCATCCTCCAGCTTCACTGTGCTAATGTTATGCTAACATAGCTGTGTCGCTAGCAATCACGTAGCACAACATTATATACCAGGTAGTCCAACTTCAGTAACCCTGCAAGCACCACTGCTGTTTAGTTTTTTGTCTTCATTTATGTTGGAAGTGATAGCAGAGCTGTACGTTTTAATTAGTTTCAAAAATCTCTCAGTCAGAACATGGTATGTCATGTTTAGGTGGAAACTAGCAAGCTAACTTCCTGTTAACTCATAACTCCATTAAATTTAATAAATTCTGTTTTCATGGATGTTAAACTTAATTGTTACACCTGGTAAAGCAGCAACGCTGATGATTTTATTAAAGATGAAAGAATTCAGACCGTTTTTAACTCTCAGTGTTCGTTTGACTTTGGGACCTGAAG